TTGGTATATAAAAATGGTATTGGCATGTTGATACTGCGATTTCTAGTGCGGTGATGATTTGAATCGTCGAGCGGGAGCCTTTTTATAGGCTACGACACGTGATCGCCGGCGATACGCTGCCGCGCGCTATGCATAAGTTAGACTATCGTTGGGCATAAGTTGTGAACGCCGGCAACACGCTAAGCATTTGTTGGTATAAGTTATCTATAAGTTATCGAAACGTTCTATATATACGTTACTAATGCGTCCAACTCGTTATGAATACGCTATGTATACGCTCAAAATTGGAAAAAAAACATCGATAGTTCAGCGTATGCCAACGTTTTAGAGAAATTTTGATACGTCCGGCATACGCTGTCTAAATCGTCAATGTGTGACAGGGCCATTAAGTACGCGCAGCACGCAGAGCCACTATAGTATAATGACCGCGCGTGCCCTTTTTCAAAGATGTGATTTAATTATATCAAATCAATTTACATCTTGATTGAAATCCCCCAATCCAATCCACTAACAGTGGTTTAGGCAGAGGTTTAGGTAAGACAAATCTGTGCTGCAAATATTCAAACTGAGGTAATTAAGTAAACGAACACTATGTGTTTCACAGCTCGCAGCACATTTAAATTACATTTCGAACGTTTGCAAAGTCTCTTCTTTCGGCTGATAACCAAAAACTACCCCTACGCATATCTATGGGGGCTCCGATACAAAAGTGATAGGTGTTCGGATGATCGGTCACCAACTTAAAAATTACAACTATATAAAAGGCACGGCAAGAGTACAATTTTAGAATGATTTCTATCAAAATGAAGCAAAATCGCGCCCTAAATGGCGCAAACTAATTGACCCACCCAAATGGCACAAACAAAAAACAAAAAATAAATGGCACAAACTAAGTTAATTGTATAAATATCTTGCGTAATTATATTTATCGCATTAAATTAAGTTGCAGGAAGTGTTTATTATGGCTTATTAGAAAATATCTCGTTACCTGCAAATTTAACCTGCAGATTTGACCGGGCACCCGCCACACTACCTGTACGTATGTGCATGCATGCGTGCGTATGCATTTAAAGTGATTACGTCACCGTAAATAGTAAAAATAGAAAAATATTTCCACTTTTTCACAAAATATAAGTCATTCTGTTCACTTTTTATGGTTAAATTGCTGAATTATACTTCCTGTTTTACTATATTGTTCGATGTGAACATACACTCGTGACTCATACATAGCCCATAGCAAGCAATTAATGTTGGGAACATTAATATCAAATCGTCCGAGTTTTTTGAATTTTTAACAAGTTGAAAAACAATCTTATCAGGTAAGAATTTGACGATACGTTTAGTCCCGTTAGTTCTTACTTTTAATGTAAAAAATGGCAACAACAATTTTACAAATTTTACCATAGAAAATTCGTGACGTAGTTAATTTAAGAAGCAAAATGATTGTAGAAAAGCGAATAAAATAAATTCCATGAACTATATATCAAATAATTATATATATTATATATATATAAGAGGAGAGAGAGAGAGAGGAGGGAGATGAGAGGAGACGAGAGGAGGAGAGGGGAAGAGTGAGAGAGGACGACGAAGAGGAAAGAGGACGAGAGATGACGATGGAAGACGGAGGACGAGAAGGGTCGAGAGAGAGAAGAGAGGAGAGAGGGAGGGGAAGGAGGAGAGAGAGAGAGGCGAGAGAGGAGAGAGCGGATGAGCGACGAGAGCGAGGAGCGCAAAGAGGAGCTAGGAAGGGAGTAACTAACACGTAGAAATAGCAAGTAGGAAGGTTTGCCTTATCGTTTGTGATTTCCTTTCCCTTTAGCGCTTCGCATGCAATCCATAGTAATCTAGCACATTAAGTCAATATATAATATATCTATTCCCATTAATATATAGTAGGTGAGGGGAGTATAGTTGACGATGATTGGAAGTATTGGAGTGGGGTCGCATTAGTATGAGGGGGGCGCGCGCGAGGTCTGTTAGATTGGTTTTGCGCGCGACTGCACGGGATGATCATGATAGGAGCACACAGCAGGTTGGTTCTGAAGTGAGGTGGATGGGTATAGTGTCAGTAGGTCTGACGTGGCGCGGTCGGTGAGCGCACGGAGTGTGCGTAGGTGGGGTCGGTCGCACGGGTGTGGGTTGGGTTCACGTGGTGGATGATGACAGCCCCGCCGGCCGACTCGGCGCACACAGTGCAGTTCTGTTTATTACACAGAATATCGGGCAGAAGAATCGGCCTCACACATCAGGCCGACAACAGGATGTTATATCTTTCAAAAGTATACCCACCCCTTTAACCATTTTTCTTTAACATTTAACTGGAAACACGCTGCAATTTGTCAGTTGACGAATAATCTTGATTTTTTATAAAATATTTTATATCGGTGTTTGTTTTATAGGCTTGATTGGTGGTTGTTGTAGTGTTAAAGTAGGCGCGGCCACCCCGCGGATGTTACGTGGGTAGTAGCTGCTCATGTAAGGTGGTGGGTTCAGCCAGAAGAGGTATGACAGGGACCGCTGGGTTTGGCTCGAGAGTTTGGCTCACATATTAATGTGCTCAAACCTTTAAAACATCTAGAGGGGAGCCCTGTATGTATGGCTATATGATAATTATATATATATATATATATATATATTCATGTAATGTTCTCAGACTCGGGGTTGCTAACTTACTGTGCCGCGTGGTTATACACGTTCGTTTACGTCGATCGATTGTGAAAGTATTGAAGACAAATGGTGCATGTAAGCAATAATGACCTAATCGCGTTTAAGGAGAATATAATACGCTAAACACAAAGCTACAAGGCCAAACAGAAGTCGACATGCGTGCGTGTACGCGAGCAAATATTACTGTGCGAAGGTCATCATTAGATTAAATGACAAGTACCTGTACATCGCCTTTGAACACTGCGTAAAGAGGTTATTGCGGGAGAGTTCGCTTGTTTTGCTTTACCTGCGTTGCAAAGTAAATCTTGACTACGTTACATAGATAGCGCGCTTCTGTCAGAGCAGGTGAGATGGCAGCTAGCGGAGTGCTGTACATTCTCGTCGCTGTTGCGGCTCTCTACGTTGGTTACCTATACATAGGGAGCAAAGAAGACTCTTCCCAGGCAGGTCTTCATAGAGACCCTCTTACTGCTTCGACCAGAAGGCCAAACTTTGTCATACTTTTCGCTGATGACTTAGGATGGGGAGACCTTGGTGCAAATTGGCCGGCAACACACGACACTCCTAATCTTGACAAGTTAGCTGACAGAGGACTCCGGTAGTATAAAGCAATGCATTTTTACTAGTTACATTTATTCGAAAGATTGGATTTGCTTCTGTTTTGCAGATTCGATGGGCACGATTCATTGTGCGTTTTACTAATAGGTATAAATAAAGCACGTGAAAACGACAAAAAAAAACAGTATTCTAAAAAAGAGGGCGGGGCAAATTATTGACGAAGATTGAGACATTGATAAATTTAGTTAGCGAGTGTAACAAATCATTGCGTTATTTCAGAGACAGTGTAATCAGTGCTCGTTGGTAAATAGACATAATTGAGTACACACTTTTTTGTGGAATCTAGATTATGTATTTAAGCATGATTCGGTTTTTTAGATTAACAGATTTTCACGCGGCGGCCTCAAGGTGCACCCCCTCACGTTCAGCTCTGTTGACAGCCAGGCTTGGTCTAAGAACAGGTGTAACTCGCAACTTCAAAACACACGCCGTAGCTGGCCTGCCCCTCAATGAAACAACACTGTCCAATACATTTCACGTCGGCGGCTATACAACAGCCATGATCGGTAAGGCGGTGCATTTAACGGTTTCTCTTTAAAGCCGTTATGATATATGGCATTGAGACTTGTTATACTATATCACAACATTTATATTGCGTCTTAATCGAAGGCTGTATCGAAGATCGTAACAGTGCTTCCCCCGTTCAGGAAAGTCCTTGTCAGCACCGACGCATGTGTGCGTTTAATTATATACCGCTGCATATCCTTTTTAAGTGGACTATGGCTGTTTACTCAAAATACTATAATGTACTAGAACGTGCATAGACCTACGGTACACGTATACGTCTTGACCGGGGCACATATACGCGCGGAAGACACCACTGTGATTACCGGTGCTCCAATAAAGAATCAAAAAATTTGTTTTGCGACAGACTGACGGATTTCCATGCAGCCGCGTCAGTGTGCACGCCCTCTAGGGCCGCGCTACTCACTGGTCGCCTCGGTCATCGTACGGGCATTATCCGAAATTTCGGAAGCCACTCCGTTGCCGGCCTTCCTCTGAATGAGTCCACATGTGGTGAAGTGTTTCAGGCACACGGATATGCAACGGCCCATATGGGTACATATGCTGCTGTGTTTTGACGAAGACGGCAACAATTGTTAATTCATTTTTCTTTAGTCAAGTATAGTAGCTGCCTAATACGTTATACCCATGCTTTCTTTCTCGTCTCGGTCTTTTCTGTTTTCATTATTTCTTCCCCGTTTATATATATATATATATATATATATATATTTCGCTGGGGAGAGAAGAGAGCTAGACTAGATTTACAATAGTCATAATTTTATATTTACCATATAACGTGGTCATCGGGGTGTTACGCCCCCATTCTACACATTTCCTTCGAATTTTAAGGGGCTGCCCTTAGGATTTTGCATATGCTGGCAAGCTCTACAGTCTCGTCAAATACATGTGTTTAGTTCTAGACAGTAAAAATCCCGTTTTAATGCATAACCAATAGGGGGCGTAAGAACATATAGGTACACAGCACCCCTGCATACTCAGCTATAGAACTATCCTAATGACAAATGAAAGGAATTGCAATTCACGTATTGTTCAATCCCTACCAATAGCACCCAGGCACCCTCCAATAGCACAATCATATATAGCGTATAAAACATTTCACTTGTATGCGTTTTATGTTTTTGACTTAGTGTCCGGACCACTGCCGGCATATCCCAGAACATGTTATTCTCATTCCAGGTAAATGGCACTTGGGATTTAACCGGGAGTTTCATCCAATTTACCGTGGTAAGCCAGACACAGTGAGGTTTGTAGTCTTTAGTCGAACCCGTAATTATACGCGAGAAGAACACTAGCGTGCTGTTACAAAACGATGGAGATGCTATCATATGGTGTGCTTGCGGGTGGTCGAGGAGAAGGTATTACGGCGAGAGACTCAAGATTGAAATCTCACACAACAATCGGCGTCATGTCCGTGTGTATGAATGCAGGGCGAATGGCCGCAATCACTGTACGCCTGTGCGTAATAGTTTATATATTTAACGTACATAAACGTATATATTTCACTGTCGATGTATCATACTAATAATTCCATATATATTAAGTACATTCGGTTTAGTAGCCGCGAAGAAATATTATAGTTATAACCGTCATGTGCGGCAGAAGAATTCACTTATATTTAGTCTCGTGAACAGATTCTTTTGCCGATATCGGGGTAATGTATATATATATTTAGATAGACCGATAGATAGATAGACAAATAGGTAGGTAGATAGAAAGACAGACAGATATATAGATAGATAGATAGATAAATAGATAGATAGATAGATAGATAGATAGATAGATAGATAGATAGATAGATAGATAGATAGATAGATAGATAGATAGATAACCGCGTGCTAATAACCAGAATCTGCATGATCTACATATATTGGTTGTTCATACTAAGCGCTTCGACTACTACTACGGGATTCCATACAGCAACGATATGGGGCTGCACGGACAAATCAGGACTGATCTGCCCACTTGCCTGCCGTGTGGAAAGACAAGGTTACAACCAATCATTTCAGCCAAGAATTTCAGCCACTTTACTAGAAAAGTAAAAACACACACACACAGTGCAAAACACACACACACACACACACACACACACACACACACACACACACACACACACACACACACACACACACACACACACACACACACACACACACACACACACAAACACACACACAAACATCACAACAAAAACACACATTAATTAATAAATAAATAAATAAATTTATTTATTTATTTATTCACGTATTGTTGTTATCGTAGAACTGATTGTATTCATGATATAGATGAACAATATGGAAGAGGCAGTTGCGACATGAGTGTTGCTTTACCGCTCTACGAGAACACGACCGTGATCGAGCAACCGGTTACACTGCAAACACTGACGGCTAGATACGTCGACAAAATCAGGAAGTTCATCCAGGTCAGGTAAGCACGCATCCAGGTAAGAAGAGCTGCTCGTGATTCTGTCACCGCCTGATCGATGAATCACATTTGCATATCATCACGGGTGAATAATAACAAAATTGTCATTATTCACCTATGATATCTTCAATGCTCCCCTAGAGAAATCATTCGTCAGCTGCTGTACGTGCTATTACTGTCAATCGCTGACGTAAAAATATAATAATAATTTTGGAAATACGTCACGGGCTCTTGTTGGAATGAGTAATGAGAAAAGCAACACGGATACGAAATATTACAAGTTATCTCACATGCTCTAAAGTACTCTATGTCGCTACACTATCTTCACTATACTACGTCTTGTTACACGACGTACCTATGTCGAATACGTGGTTTGTACATGCATGAAGATGTGAATAAAGGTGAAAAGCGAGAATAGATGTAGCATGAACGTAATGAATTATGAATGATAAAATAGCCGTTTACAAGCATACGTTATAGATACCTATACGCTATAATGCTTCTTTCAGTGGGAATAAGCCATTTCTGATGTATGTTGGCTTCGCTCACGTGCACGTACCCCTCGCCTACCATAGCGTGTTCACCAACACGTCTACAAAAGGTGCCTTCGGCAACGCCTTACGGGAAATGGATGCTGCCGTTGGCGATATTGTGGCGGCCATCGATGAGGCAGGCCTAACGGACAGCACGATGGTGTGGTTTACAGGTAGGCTCGCACAAAAACACATGATTTGAACTCAGATAGTTCATCAAGTTCGTTCGCAACCGTTCTCATCACAAACAACTCTTTGTAAAACTAACGGCAACGGGTTATGTTTTTCTTGAAGGAGACAATGGACCATGGGCGGAGAAATGTAACTTAGCCGGAAGCCAGGGGCCGTTTACTGGAGCCTGGCAAAAGATGCATGGTAAGCGCATTTATTACGTGCACAGATAATGACACCCAATGCGCTATCTATATACCAGAAATATTATGAACACACACAGGATAGACTAATGTAGCCGTTATACATATTCACCGCAGTTCAGTGCTTTCTGCAACAACCGCATTTTGCATACCTAATATACCAAGTTTTTCAAGTTTTTTAAATGTTAAAACGGCCGTGGTTGATATCTTAGGGGGAGGTAGTACGGCTAAGAAGACGGTCTGGGAGGGCGGCCACCGGGAGCCGGCCATTGTTTACTGGCCTGGTAAGATTTCACCTGGAACAACCAGCGCAGCCCTCACCAGCACACTGGACATCTTTCCCACCTTGGCTGCGATCGCCAACGTGTCGATGCCACCGAACAGGAGATACGACGGCAAGGACATCCGCAGCGTTCTATTCGCAGGCGACCCGCTTGGCAACACCTTCCTCTTTCATCCAAACAGCGGAGCGGCGGGACAAGATGGCGACATCGACGCGGTGCGGTTCGGATCATACAAAGCAGTGTACATGACAGGTGGCGCTGCAGATTGCGGCTCCATCGTGGGGCCTTCCGTTAAGCACGATCCGCCATTGCTGTTCGACCTCAGCGATGACCCGACGGAGAGTACACCACTGAACACGAGCCGAGGGCCGTACAGAGAAATCTTGAAAATTATCGAGCAGGCTAAAAGAGACAAACTGGCAGACATCGCGTCGGATAACATATCCGTAGCTAATTATGACACGGATCCCAATGTGAAGGTATGCTGCAATAGGGCTGATCCGCTGTGCCGCTGCAAAAATATGGATGCTCCCCTTAGATGGCCCTAGACGACCATCCCGCTAGATGGCGGTATCTACCAGCGACAAATGTTTGTATTGATGATCATTGCCACTCGCCGTTGTGCAGATGCGAATTTTTAATATCGGCTCGTTCGATTTATCTGTAAAAATCCCGGTCTATAGTATGAGAAACCAGGCGGGTGCTGACAGAAAACTTTTTTTTATCTTTCTCAGAAAGTTCCCTATAGAGACATAACCGCATATCAAATACCAGTCATAGTCTGGGGAACTGCATCGAAGAAGAAATGAGCCTAAAATTGATGAAATTGGCAGATCAACAGCGTGGAAAGCACTAGAAAGGGTTCTATAGGAAGTAATATTTTTAGGCTCTCTTGTTTTTCGGGACATTCCCTTTGACTATATGAATGCTACTTGTTATAAGGTTATGTCTTTGGATACTCTAACTATTGACCGGTGGTTGGTCGGATGCCTAAAGATAAATCGGCCGAGTACGTTTGAGATGCTGGGCGAAGAACTGTTTTTGTTAATAATGAAATGTAATAGAAGCACGCATAATATATATATATATATATATATGTGTGAGATTATAATGGTAGGGTAATAGCGGCATGACTGTTGATGATCCGTGAACGTGAACAAAACAAATAATTCTGTCTGTACGCAAATAAAATTATGACTTAATTATTGATGTATTCAGAGGTGAATGATAACAAAACTTTCTTTTTATTCACTCCAGACGTATCTCAATTCGCAGTATGCAGGTGATCCCTCGGTGGGTAGTTCTATACTACAGAATGACATCCCTGCTGTACGTTCTATAATTTGTTAACAACGGTGTCTCGGAACTTTCCACTCAGTTATAGGTATTTTATTATCTACCATCGATGCCAGGACATCGTCGCCTCGAGGTGCTGCTTCTATATTTAATGGTGAGGGAGCAATTCGTGGGTAGTTAAATCGACATGATCGTAGCACTCGACTAAAGATTTGGAATTAGCGGAAACGCCGACGGCTATTCTAAACACAAGCAGTGTATATACCACGTTGTCAGCTTTCACCCATTAAAAAGTCATCAGTAAGCAGATTGTCCTGTGCGAGCTTTGTGCTCAACATTCGAAGGGAGAGCTCCAGAAAAAAATAGATTACTAAGCTTCAACGACGGCAAGACGATTAAACAAAAATTGTTCTAATAATTACAGTTGCTCCGTCCAACACTATATAGTAGCAGGGGGTGGGACTTCTGAGATGCGCTAAGATGGAGGTTGGAATTGCCGTGATACCCTAGAAAGGTTTTATAGGCCATCTATCTCATTTGAGTACATGCAGTAATGTTAATAGGACAAATCGAGGTATATGCAGATGACCTTTAAACTAGTCGCATGCGAAAACACCCGTAGACACCATTCTTGGCGTGCCGCAACGTAATTACGGGGTTGGACGGCTGCCACAGCGGCAAACGCTTTCATCTGCGCATACTACAGATACAATCATACAATCCATATAAAGATTCCGCACAGATCATCAGAATGATGGCAATCCTGTGGATTGCATCTGTATCAGATGATCGCCACAGTTCTGAATGGCGCTCATCGCGATCGTTCCTAAGAAAATGGTTTGCGGCAGTGATGTGCATGTATCGTGCGTACATGGGGTGAGCCTGGGATGGAAATTTAAAATTCAGCGGTGCTTGCTAATCGGGAATAGTTGTTGGCTTGTTAAACAGCATACCGGACTAGCACGGCTAAACAACGCGCCCGTAGGGGGCGTGGCGCGCGCCTCCCTTCTTCATTCGCTTCACATAACATAGCTGGAGGTTTTCTAGGTGGATCGTTGAGACGGCTTGGACGTACCGCCCGCTAGTTGCGCTCTCGATATTGCATTCGCACATACCGCTGTTTTTGATTCTGTAAGGAGATTTCGTTTCTGAAGCGGCCGAGGTTACGAGGTACTCCAGCGCGTGACGTAAAAGCAGCAGGTCGGCTGCATGCATGCACGCGACACCTGCGCACGCATCGACGGCGCTTTCATACGCACGTATATATCTACCGATCTAAATCCATCCGTTTCTGACCTCATCACGATTTTCTCAGCAATTCTTGAAGTGAGACAGTCCGCACTTAGTGACCTGCGACCTCGCCGTATCTTTACGCCCGGCGCCGAACAGTGGTCCGGCATTGTCACTGCGTGTGTGAAACACGCCGTTCACAGGTGCGCGAATTGTCCTCGGCGCTCGCCTCGCGCACCTTTGAAGCGGCGCGTCGATGCGGCAGATAACCGAAATATTCCAAAAATCTCGTTTCCCGCGCGCGCATGGCGAGCGCGACGCCTAGCTGCGAACAACGTCCGCCGCACAGACGACGGTGACGGTGGTGGTGGTGGTGGCGGCGGCGGCGGCGGCGGCTCGGCAAGCGTGAGCATGAGGCGATGCTCGGGGTGGTAGTTATACACGACCATGACACCCGCGTCCACCCTCACTGCTCAAGGCGGCATCCGGGAGTAAGGAGAATAGGTCAGGACAGCGTGCCCAGAGAGCACGAATGAGATTGTTGTACGACAAAGCCGCATAATCCAGTTTGGCAAATCATAGTTCGCTCTGATGACAGCGTAATTGGCCATCGGGAGGAGCAGCTCGCATCTCGACGTGTACGCGCGCGTGGAGAATGGTATGCGCACAGCAAGTTCCTCTCTACATCGTGATGCAGGGGGTTGCTCGCGGGCAGTATATGCACGCACGCACACACACAGGCACGCACGCACGCACGCACATTTGTGGATAAATAATCCACGCACACCAACGAATACGCACACACACGCGCGCGCATGCACACGCACAAGCACGCTCATTAACAAACACAAGCACACGTGCACGCACGCACGCACACACGCACACACACACACACACACACACACACACACACACACACACACACACACACA